AAATATCTTTATTTTCCTTGGTTCAAGATCTGGTCCACTAGCCATCCAAGCTAGGTCAACTGGGCACTAGATGCAAGTTTGGGAGTTCATGCACACCTCCCTATACTTCAGACCAGCTGGCTGCTTGATTCCCAGCTCTAACCTCCAGGGGCTAGGTCAGTGCTCATGGGCTCAGGAGTTCACACATCTTCCTAAACTTCAAATCAGCCATCCCTTTCTCTTTTCTCTCTCATCTCAAGGTCAATGGGTACCAATGGAACATTGCCAAACTCAGCCCATGTCTTTATTGCTGCATTTCCCCCACTTCCACTTAAAAGTAGACCAGATGGTCACCAGTGAGCATACTATACTGTTTATGGATTCTCTTTGAGCTTTAGTTCTAGAAGGGGTTTTTCCCGGATGGACTGACTTTTCTTTTCTTGATGCCCCCAAAGCAAACAGTGTGCCTCACATTCTCATTTGGTTTCTTGACTGCTGCTTCCACGAATGCTGAAGGTTGATCCAAGCAAAATGAAGTCTTTGACAACGTCAATCTTTTCTCTGTTTATCTTGATATTATTTATTGGTCCAGTGATGAGGATTATTGTTTTCTTTACACTGAGATGCAACCCATACCGAAGGCTATGGTCTTTGATCTTCATCTGTAAGTATTTTAAGTCCTATTCACTTTTAGCAAGTAAGGTTGTATCATCTACATATTGCAAGTTGTTAATGAGTCTTCCTCCAATCCTGATGCCACATTCTTAAACATTTATATAATTATTGTAAATGTAAAAAGATATTGTTGAATATATATTACCTATAATGTTCAGAGTACAATACAAAATACCTATTGTTATGGCTTGAATTGTATTATCCAAAACTATAAGTCACCTTGGATAGGTCATGATTCTCAATGGTTTGGCAGTTATGTAATGATATTATCACCACCCATGATGTGATCTGATGTGATCAGCTCTGATCTGATGTAATTATTCTGTGTGTTGTAGATCCTCACTTCTATGATGCTACTAATGAGACTAGATGCAATCTACAGGATTAGGCTGTATCTTGAGACAATCTCTTTTGAGATATAAAAGAGATTAAAAAAGCAAGCAGAGCTCAAAGAAAGAAGATCTAAGCATACAGTGTATCCTTTGGACATAGGGTGAAGTTCCTAGATCCAGAGGAAGATTTATGTCAAGACACATAGAAGTCTCCAAGGAATACAGGGCCTATAGATGCTGAAATCATTGGTTTTGCAGAATTTTATCATGTGTTCTCCAGCATCATTTCTATTACCAAGGCCATATTTTCCAACTACTGATCCAAGATGTATTGATCATTATTGGTGATTGGAATGCAAAGGTTGGGAGCAAAGAGGAAGGATCAGTATTTGGAAAATATGGCCTTGGTGATAGAAATGATGCTGGAGAATGCATGATAGAATTCTGCAAATCCAATGATTTGTTCATTTCAAATACCTTCTTTAGACA